CCACCATCGAACAGGCAATCTTGTTAGGAGCACGTGCTCTCACCAGCTGAGCCATCCTGCCACCTGTTGGCAGCTCAGCAGCAGTTCAGCTCGGGTGCAGCGTCACTGGCCCATGTGGGAATCGAACCAGCAACCCTGTTGCTCAGAGGTCGTGCTCTTAAGCAAACTCTTAACCAACTGAGCCACTTGGCCAGTCCCCCAGTGGTTAGTTCTTAACCAAACACTGCAAGGCCTCAAAGGTGCCTCGTCCCAGGAGCCCTCACTTCCTGTTCTGTCCCTTCTGCTTTTGTCCTCTACAGCCACCTCTGCTGGTAGCAAATATGGGTCAGGACTCACAGCAGAGAGAGTGGCCTATGAATCCTGGGCTTCCATGTGAGGAAGCTTTCAATTATAGAAAAGTTTGAGGTTCTTTTTCCCCCTTAAGGAAATAAAGAGGCAGGGACAGTTTTCTGTTTTGTTTTTTCCTGGAACCACCTGCCTGGCTAGACACCAGGTTCTTGGAAGAGAACAAGGGTTGGTTTTGCCAGATCGTGGGGCCTAATATGCTGTGGTATGTACTCGGCTCTCCAGTCTGGTCTAGAAGCAGCCCCCAACCCCCCACCTCTCCCACCCTCCAGGCTCTGGCCATACTGTGTGTTCTCCACTGCCTGGACAAGGGCCATCTTGCTCACCTCCCGGCCGTTGCATTCCAGGCAGAAGGAACGGCCTCTCCCCCTTTTCTTGGGTTAGCTAAAGCTTCCTTATCTCCTAGGCCTTAGCTTAGATGCCACCTCCTCCAGAAAGCCCTCCTGACTGCTCAGGCTGGTCCGTTATGCCGACTGTGTGCTCCCACAGCCTTCTGCTCTTCACGACACTCAGCACACCGGCAGGACTCGTGCCTTAGCAACGTGTGTGCTCCAGAGGGCAGGGGACCTCAACTGCCTTGGCCGTCCCTTTCCTAGTTCTCAGCACATCACGACACAGAGTAGGTGCTTAATACCCGTCAGAGGAGTTAATGAGAAGCAAATGGTTCTGCAGATACATGGAATTCAGGGCGGACTTTTGCCCAGGTCTTGGTTCTGTGGTATTGAGAGTGGGTGCAAGGGCGTCACCTTTTTCCTCCTGGAGAGGAGGAAGAGCCACATGACAACAGGGGCATGCGCAAAAGAGGACTTTTCAAGTCAGGAAGTGTTAAAAATCAGGCCTTTCGGTAATAATTTAAATCATTGAGGTGGTTATTAATATCTTACATTTATATTTTGCTTTAGGGTTCACCCATTGTGTGTGTGTCTGTGTGTGTGTGTGTGTGTGTGTGTGTGTGTGTGTGTGTGTACACATTTAATCCTTTTTAAAACACTCTGGAGGCGATGTTATTAATTCTGATCTTACCTAGGACATGTGTGCCAGGAAAGTTAAGTGACCATAAAGTTCCTAGTTAGGACTTGATTATGAAACAGAGGCTCTAAAACACTGGCTATGGGCTGTTGAACTTGGGGGAAATCTGAGCAGTGTGGGGCTGGGTTAGAAGTACCTAACTAGAGAGCTGGGGAGGAAGAAAGTATGTGACTGGTGTGAAGCCCCTAACCCTTTGAGGCTGCCGCTGTCTGTCTGTCCCTCCGATTCTGAGACGATGTGCTATGATGTTTTCATGGGGGGTGGGGGTGGGGTCACACCTTCTGGCCGGTGTGATTCTGTGATTCCCAGCCAGGCTTGGTGCTGGGTCGGGTGGGGGTAACCATGAGGTTTTGCCAGGTGCTCAGCCAGACCTTTAGCTTTGTAACGGCCCAGGTTTGCAGGTTCGGGTAAGGTTGACTGTTTGGGCACTGTCATTGAAGATCTCAGCTGTTGTGACTGTTGGCACATCTCTGCTCGTCACGTGAGCTTTCTGAGTGGGTTTGGAGAAAGGGCAGTGCTGTGACCTGTGGTCAGGAGGACCCCGAGAACCTGCTTTGGTATGGACCAAAAATAATGCCTTGCCCATCTCAAGCAGTCTGGAAAAGGGAAACCCTCTGCCAGCTGCTCGGAGGTGGCCCCTGGCACAGCCCTTGGGAAACTAACCTGAGAAGGCTCTGCCACCAGGGAGCGTCCTTTGCTTGCTGTTAGCTTGCTTTGCAAGGGCTCTTGAACTGCTTAACGAAGAATTATTACATGAACCCCTGCTGTGTGCCAACTTCTTGCTAAGTGCTTAGGGAGTGACGCCTAAAGGGCCCTCTGTGGGAAGCCGAGTCCAGTGGAGGGAGGTGTGGGTACAGACGGTGCTGTGTGGGCTGTGGCTGAGGGCTGTCTTCGAGGTTTGAGCAATGCTCAGGGAACCCTGAAGGAATCGGCAGCATCCTGGGAGAGCCCAGCGCCGGCTCGGAGGACATGGTGTCTGAGCAGTGTTGAAGGATGAGCAGGTGGCCAGGGCGCAGGGAGCTCTAGAAGGAGTGAGGACCGCGTGTGCTGAGGCCTGGGGTAGGACAGGGCCCTGCAGGTTCTAAGGCCAGTGGGACGTTTGGGTACCTAGACTGTAAGTGCTTCCTGGGGACTGGTGGCAAAGGAGGTGAGCTGAGACCAGGTTAAAAGAACTTGGCTTTCATTCAGTGGTCAACAGATTTCTTTCTGTTTTTCCAGCTTCGTTGAGGTATAATTGACATGTGACATTGTGTGCATTTAAGATGTACAGTATGATTTGAACCTCTTATATTGCAAAATCAACAGATTTCTTCTTAACTTTTAATTATGGAAAAATGTAAAGACGTGCAGAAGTAGACAGAATAGGATAATGAACCCTGTGTACTCTCACCTGTTAACAGCCCATGATCCGTCCTGTTTCCTGCACACCTGCCACCATCGCCACCAGTCCCTCCTCCAGCCCCTCCTACTCCATATCGCTGGAGAAATCCCAAAGTGACTTGTATATTCATCAGGTCCTATCCTGTGGCTTATGATGGATTAATCCGGAGTTCCAGGGTCTGGGGTGAATCTGGTGGCACTTTTTAATTTCATTTCGTTTTCAGAGGGACTGCTGAGTTTCCCCTCTTCTTGCCTTTCAGTGGGAAGTTGGTGTCTCCAAAGTGGAAGAATTTTAAGGGCCTGAAGCTCCAGTGGAGAGACAAGATCCGTCTCAACAATGCCATCTGGCGGGCCTGGTACATGCAGTGTAAGTGGGGCCTGAGCTGGGGTCCCAGGGCCTTGTCAGGGCTGCCCCCCAGGTTCTTCCACCTGGAGGCCATGGCACCCCGGGCCCCTTAAAGCAGCCTCTCCAGGGCAGTGTGCAGAGATAGGACACCCAAGCCAAGTCCTGGTGACTGGACCCTGCTCGGCCGCCAGGCATGGGGGGGCCATCCAGGGGGTCCGTGTCGTGAAGGTGCCTGTCGTCTGCAGGAGACACATGTGTCAGCCCGTTGCTCACAACATTGCGCCCACTGTTACAACCCGCTTGGGCCTAGTGTCGTAAAGGCAGAGGTGGCGGGAGGGGCCGGTTCTTTTCAGGGGAGCCTGGAAGGTATAGCAGAGGGGTGACATCTGAAGAGTCGGAGCAGCTCCAATTTTCAGCAGGTCAGAGAAGGCGCAGGTCCCAGCCTCTCCTGCCTCCAGCTGGCTTGCGGTTGGTGGGCCTGGTGACTTCTGCAGGCCATCGGCGTGCTTGGGCCACCCTTGTTAGGCTGGCGTTTCTCTCAATGGGCCGGACCCCCTTTCTTACCCACGTCTTACTGACCGATCCTTTCCCTTTAACTGGGACCCCTTTATTTCTCTGACATCTCACTTTCCAAGGGAAGGAAAAGGAAAGAACAGGTGGGAGGGTCCCCTCTGAGGGGAGGGGTGTGGACAGAGGGGTGGGGCTCCTTCAGGGGTCCTGTCGCAGTGATGACATCTTATCCCCTCTCCACCCAGACCTGGAGAAGCGCCAAAATCCTGTGTGCCACTTTGTCACCCCACTGGACGGCTCCGTTGAAGTAGATGAGCATCGCCGGCCAGAGGTACTTGGCCCGTGACATGGGTGGCTGGGAAAGGAACGCGCCGTCACTCGGAAGGAGACGACTCACAGAGGGCTGGGAGTGAGGGTGGGCTTCCACAGGGGGCGACCACAGGGCAGGGTATGGGGCTTCGTTGTCCTGTCAGCTGCTGTGACCTCGGGAAGCCACCAGGATGTTGGGAACCGTGGCCTCTGACACCCCGCAGAGGCTCCCCCTGCTGGGAGTGGGCTGACCCAGGGGCTGAGGGACCCTCCAGGCGGGACTTACCCTCCCTTTCCTGTGACAGCGATGTTTCCCTGGAGCTAAAAGTGAGGGATTTGGGCTCCTTACGCGGCAGACATCGCCAACAATTAAAGAATGAGCTCGAGATCTTTATACACAGGGAGGGAAGGATGTTGAAGGAATAGTAAATGAAAAAAAGTGGAAGCCGCACCGCAGTATCTTAGTACCTTTATTCAGAAGTCTCTTCCTGGTGGATTCCTCTGGGGAGTGGGGGTCATGCGAGGAGGAGCGGAGGCCCTTCTTTCCTTTACACGCTCCTGCATTGTTTTGCTTTTGTCCAAGCAGGTCTTACTGCTATGATGAAAAGGGGGTGGGGAAGGAATTGGAAAGCAACCTAATGCAAGACAGTGTTAAGTGGTCGGGCATGGTCTGGTACTAGACATTAAGGAATATAATTTCGTCAGGTCTGGTCATTATAATGCATTATTCACAGTGAAGATTCTTCACTGTCAGAGACACACAAGAAAGTGTTTTCAGGTGAAATGATGTGGGACCTTGATAGGACAGGGTTCTGAAAGTGAGGGGCGCTTTCTGACTGAGGCAGTTGTGACTTCCTTGTCACCAGAACTCTTCAAGGCTCTGGTGGCAGGGACGCATGCCCCCCGTAAGGGAAGGTTGAACTAGGTACTCGTGGAAGTCACTTTCCACCTGAAGCTCCAGCCACTCGTCTTTACCTTTGAAAATGCAGCGGAGGCTACTGGAAACGGGCCCGTGCTGCTCCCCCTGGGTCTGTGTGGGGCCCCTTAGCGCCGGGACGGCTGGCTTCCTCTCCGCTGCCCAAGCAGTCCGTCCAGACCCTCGGGGCCATGCCGCCAGAGTCCCCCTTGGTTATCGTAGGTCATGAGGTGAAAGCACATCTTCAGTCAGAGGCCGCCTGTAGCCCAGAAGAGGGAGACGCTTTATGAACGAAGTTGTAGGCACAGGGTGGGGTTCTCCAGGCTGACTTCCAGCCCAGAGTCAGACGCTTCTGTGTTCACGGTGACTTCTGCTCATCACCCAAGACACCATCTATTCACCCTGACCTGCTCCCCTCTTCACAGGCCATCACCACGGAAGGGAAGTACTGGAAAAGCCGCATTGAGATCGTGATCCGGGAGTATCATAAGTGGAGAACCTACTTCAAGAAAAGGGTATCCATCTGGCTTGGTCTCCAAAAAGATCATGTTTGGGGAGCCCCCATAGAGACGGGAGGGGACCTCGTCTGTGTTGAGAGCACTGGCCCTGAGTCTGTGGCTCCATGGCAGCCTGGTCGCTCTGTTTGTGCTTGCAGCTTCTCTAGCTGTGGGCGGGGCTGCGTGTCCCACTAACACTGGCTGGGAATCTCCTCTGTGCCCCCATCGGCCTGGGGACGGCAGGGGGCAGGACCCCTTTCCCTGCCCGCGTCCCAGACAGAAGAGGCCGAGATGCTTCCGCAGTTCATGCACTTTTAGGGAGGACAGGCTGCAGGTCTCATCCCCTCCCGGGGCCCCTGGTGACCACCCTGTCCCTGCTTTTCTCCACAGTTACAGCAGCACAAGGATGAGGACCTCTCCAGCCTGGCTCAGGTGAGTGAGCTGGGATTGTGAGGACCCTCAGGGGAGCAGCCCCCCTTTTGACAAGAAGCAGCATTGACTTAGGTGGCCCGACAGTTAGCCTTGCAGCAGAAGGTGGTGGGGACACAGGCTCTCCCTGCGGCTTGAGGAGAGGCTATCTCCTTCCCACATGAGGGACACAAAAGGCTAAGGAAACCGGGCAGTTCTCTCTTCTAGGGGGGTCCCCACATTCCTCCACCACTCACCTCATCTACTGTACAGCAGCCCCTGCAGCTCTGTAGGATAGGGGAACATGTGTCCCCACGTGACAGGCCGGGAACTGAGTCCACTGTCGCCCCTTCGCTTTTTCCCTCGCCCTCTATTGGTGGTAGGATGATGACATGCTTTATTGGCACAAACACGGGGATGGATGGAAGACCCCAGTCCCCATGGAGGAGGACCCACTGCTGGACACAGACATGCTCATGTCAGAATTCAGTGACACTCTCTTCTCCACGCTCTCCTCACACCAGCCGGTGGCCTGGCCCAACCCACGGGAAATAGGTAACCCACCCCAGATCCTTGACCTGGAATGCGCAGCTGGTTCCCTTCTCTGCCAGCCCCGTTCTGGGCCATCTCTGAGCTGCTGTGCGTCATTTGTTTAGGGCAGGCAGTAAGGAGGAGAATTGGCTAGCCTCACTGACATCTGAGGGCCACATGCGCTGACTGGGTGGGGACTGCCTGTGGTACCTCTGGGAGAGCACAGCAGCGGCTGTGCTGAACTGATTTCACATCTCTGATTCTGTCCCCTTGGCGGAAGATGTGTGCCTAGGCCAAGTGTCAGGGCCTGTGACTCACTCTAAAGTCAGAAGCATTCCTGGGCATGACCTTCACCTGGCAGCATTCAGTGGTCTGGTGAACCCCTCAGGGAAGAGTCCACAGACTAAAATTAGACGGGGTCGGTGGGGGAATCTCTGCAGAGCTGTTCACGGCTCCCTGGGAGTGTCCATTCCTAATACTCATTTACCTTTCTTGCAAACACATTTTTCCTCCCTTCTGAGGGTAGAGAATGGCCATGAACCCACAAGACAGTCAGAGTCCCTGCCAGCTGCCTACATTCCTCCTTGGAAGAATCTAGAATGTGAGCAGGGCCAGGAAGATCCGTTGCAGGCCTTGCGACTTTGTCTGAGAAGGCAAAGTGAGGCCTCCGTCTCTTCTCTGACTCTTACAGCACATCTGGGAAATGCGGACATGATTCAGCCGGGGCTGATTCCTTTGCAGCCCAACCTGGACTTCATGGACACTTTTGAACCTTTCCAGGGTGAGGACATGGAGCAGAGAGAGCCTGGCTACCGGCACCCCCTTTGCCCAGGACGGTGGACTGGTGCCTCCCTTTCACAGAGGGCACTGTTAGAATGGGCAGGGCATGTGGGGAGGACTTAGAATTTTTCCAGAGCTACTTCCTTTTTTGGTTGTAGCTACAAGGCCTGGGAAGTTTCTCTGGCATAACTCTAACTTAAGGAAATGGCTATTCTCATTGTCTCTGAGACGTGTCTCGGAGCCTCTGGTTTGGCCACGGCTGTAAGCTGTTCTCCCTCTAGACAGCAGAGGGCGCTGAGGACACGGCCACCTCCCAGCAGTTTCCAGCAGTTAGAACTGGTCCTTGAGCTCCCGCCACTGTAAGAGCAGGTGAAATGCCAGGCCTGGGAGCATTTCAGAGCCATCGTAGTTGCCAGCATGTGCGGTCCCAATCAGAGGGCCTCTTCCTGCAGCGTGACCTGTGGGAAGAACACCCTTTCGCCATTATTCCTCTGGGTTAGGTGGGGTTCAGTGCCTGGTTTGTCTGCACCTTAGTTCAGGGAAGTGATGGACACACATAGCTCAAAAGCCCCTGATATTGTCTTTCAGACCTCTTCTCTTCCAGCCGCTCCATTTTTGGGTCCATGCTGCCTGCACCTGTCTCAGTACCTGCACCAGATTCCAACAGCCCACCTGCTCAGGTAGAGGGAGCTGGGGGGAGGGACATGGGGCTGGTCATCAAGCCTCTGCAGCCAGGGCGAGGCTAATGAGATGACCGCGCAGTCACACGCAAAGTGCTGGGGTTGCTAGATCTAGTGCCAAACACACGGAATTACTCTAGCCGTCCTTGAAAGCACCCTATATATCCATGATCATGGTGGGAGACTGTCTCACGCTCCTGCCAAAGGCTCCAAATGACGTGTATGCAGCGAGCTCAGCTCTGAGCGGTTAAGACGGGCTTAGCAAGACACCAAACAAAAACGTGGACCGCTAAGAAAAAGTTCTGTGTATTCCTTGTACTTTTTACTCAGCAGTCAACACAAGCTGGGGTTGTAGGACTGAGTCAGGCAGGGCCCTTTGCCCTGACAGGGCTCTCAGGCTGGCGCCCGTGTCCAGTTAGACACCAGTTACCTGGCCCCATCTCCTTCCATCTGGCTCCAGGAAGAAGTTCTTCTACAGAGACTAAGATCTGAACAATTGATTCCTTAAAGCGTTTCCCTTTTAGGAAGAGGTGACCTTTCTAGAAGTTGATACATGAAACTGTCCTGAGGGAACCCCATGAGCAGCTGCTATCCAGGCTGCTTCTGCTCTGTAACAGAAGATGGCAGGGACTTTCGGGGGACCCCTGCTGGACTCCAGAAATAAGATATTCCCAGGCCGAGAGCCAGCTGTGTGCAGACAGTCGCTTTGTCTGAGCCCAGCGTTATCACTTAGTTCCTACTGGAAACAAGACGCCTGCCGACACCTGGGCAGACACAGATCCATTTCCCCAGATTAGCTGTCATGGGACGGGGCAGTCGCATTTGTCCTTTCTGCCCAGGGCTTCATCTGAGGTGCCTGGCAGACAATGTCGGGCTTTGTGGTGTGTCGCACTAGAAATTGACGAGTTGTGTGGCCACAGCGTTTGTTCCTCACTTCCTTCTCTCCCCTTCTCAGGAGAACACCCTGCCAGCCACTGCCCTCCCCACCGTGAGCCTTCCTGACAGCCTCATTGCGTCCCCTGCAGCCGCTGCCCTGGACCCCACAGACAGGCCGGACTGTGAACACGCCGCCCGGCCCGGGGACCCCTTTATCCAGCCCGCAGACTTCGGTCCCTCAGCACCGCCCCTGAGTGTCCCACAGCCGTTCCTGCCCGTCTTCACCATGCCCATGCTCTCGCCCAGTCCCACCCCGGCGCCAGCTTCCCCGGCTGTGCCATTAGTCTCCCCTCCTGCCACTACCCTGAACCCCCCGACTCCACCCACCTTCCTGCAGCCACAGAAGTTTGCTGGAGTCAGCAAGCCGCCCGTTGTCATCACCCACACAGCCTCTGCCACCCTCACGCACGATGCCTCTGCCACCACCTTCAGCCAGAGCCAGGGCCTTGTCATCACCACCCGCCATCCCACCCCCTCAGCCTCCCCCTCCCCCTGTGGACTGACACTGTCTCCAGTTACCCGGCCACCAGCTGTGGGGCCTCCCCAACCCCGTTTAACTTTTATGCACCCTAAACCTGTATCCTTGACTGGAGGGAGGCCCAAGCAGCCCCACAAGATAGTGCCTGCTCCTAAACCAGAGCCTGTGTCCTTGGTACTGAAGAATGCTTGCATCGCCCCAGGTGAGTCAGGGAGGGCGTGTGACCCACCCCTCCTCTGGGTTTTCCCCTGTCCCCAAGGCTTACAAACTCGTGACACACATTGAGATGTAAAAAAAGTTATGAAATACTACATGTGTGCGACCTAGTCTATTTTCTGTGCTATGTTGTTCTTTTAAAGTTAGTCTCAACTCAGTTTGGAAACACTTGGTCCCCATCATCTCTTTCCTGGATGTGTAACCTATCCCCTTCAAGGAGAAGTTATAAAAAATGCCAGGTGCCCTGGTGGCTTTGTCTTTCCATGCCCTGTGGCGAGGGAAGCTGTCTCCATGGCAGCCAAGGGGTCGCATGTGTTTCCTGGGGGCCCTTACAGCTTGGGGTTCAGCACCAGGAGCAGGCCCCCCACCCTCACCTTTGTCCTTGTTCCAGCTGCCGCATTTTCAGGACAAGCACAAGCAGTGATTATGACGGGCCCTCTGAAGACAGAAGGGATGTTGGCCTCTACCGTGTCCCAGTCCAACGTGGTCCTGACGCCTGCTGCCATCGCCAGGGTGAGGGACGGACCTCAGCATCATAACCCCCGCGTGGGCCCTGCTCTTGGGCAGCCCTCCCCTGACATGACTAGTCAGGGTGACCTCTGTCTCCTGTGTCACCCCAGGCTCCTGGAGTTGCGGAGTTCCACAGTGGCATCCTGGTGACAGACCTCGGCCACGCCACGAGCAGTCAGCCCACGCCCGTCTCCCGGCTCTTCTCTCCAAGCACAGTGCCGGAGTCCCTGGTGAAGGGCGAGCAGGCCCCGGTGCCCGGGGGCAGTCCCCAGGTCTCTGCAGGTGCCAGTGAGTGCTCACTCGGGGGACAGTAGGGCTTCGTAAGGGGAGTGGGCGGGCTCCTCCTGGGTTGGGGAGGCCGTCCATGGGTGCCTCAGGACTGCGCCTGGCCTTGTGGGCATGCAGTGAGGTGACAGAAGCCTGCCGATAACCCCGGCTAGGAAAAAGCTCAGCTCGGGCGGACAGACCACAGCAGGGGAAAAGGAGCAGGCATGCTGCAGTGTCGGCAGCTAGAAACTCGGGGAGACACCAGTGGTAACCTCCTTCAGAAAGGCCTGGCTCTGAGCTGCCAGCCTGATCCAGGAAAGGAGAAAAGGAACCGGGGAGTCCTTGTGGATAATGCCTAGAAAACATTAGCCACAGAAGCCACCCAGCTCTGTCCCCATGTCAGCGTGGTCAGCCCTTACAGTTTGTCAGCCCTGCGCATCTGTCAGCTCGTTTCCACGTGGGGGCCTTTGGTTAGGGAGTCAGTCAGGGTAGTACTGACCTTGCCCAGCGATGCCTGACCACCTAGGAGCTAGGAGGTCAGGGGTAAATGATTTGCCCAAAGTTATGCCGCTGGGGCTTAACTTCCTCTCAGGAAGGCGAGCCAGTGTCCTGTGAGCATGGCTGCTCCTGGAGTCTGCCAAGAGCTGTGTTCCGTCTGCCTCGGGCAGACGTGAGAAGGAAGGTCTCTGCTTACAGGGATCAGACAGAGGGACCTGTCCAAGGACAGCTTTTGAAGAATAAAGACCTCCAGGCTGGAAAGAAAGATGCAGACTAGTAATGTGACAGTCCCCTAAAGTCACATACGGAAGGGCTTTGGAGACATCACCTCGTCCATTGAGGCTCAGGACACAGGAAGTGAGAGCTGTGCTGGGCACTTGAGAGAGGGAGTAATCCAGTAGAGGAAATGAACTTGAGGCATCGTGTACAGTAGGGCTGAGGGGCTTCAGAGGTGTCTTCCTGGGAGATGTCCCCTGAGAGATCGTGGTGAGAGATCCGCAGCGTGGCCACCAAGGTCACGGGGTCTCCCCGTCACGCTCTCCCTGGGTAACAGAGGGTTTTTATTGAAGTCTGGGGGATGGGTAAGATTGAAAAAAGACAAGAAAACATATCTGTAGAGTTTAAAGAGCAAACGTAGAACACCAGGTAAGAACCTTATAGGCACTGTGGAGACTTTTGCCTCCAGGTGGCTTTGTAGGAGGCCATCAGACCTCCTCTCAAAACTCCCACGTCCTCCGAGACCTGTGACTGGCAGAGCTCAGGCTGCATTCTGCTCCACATTTGGCTAGCCCACGTCGGGCCTCCCCCAGGCCTGACAGAAACCCCTTCGGAGGTTGGCAAGGATTTCTCTGGGTTTTGCTCTGAAGCCACTATGGGAGATTCACGATGGGTTTACAGGTCTTGGGACTTGCTGGGGTTTCCCTTCATGGGTGAGGCTGAGGCTAGAGCAGCCTCGCCAGGCCTGCCTCTCCAGCGCTGTCCCTAAGAAGGGTCTCTGTTCTTCTCAGGTCGAGACGGCCCAAACTCAGGGCAGGCCTCTCCATGTGCGTCAGAACAGAGCCCCAGTCCTCAGTCTCCTCAGAACAACTGCTCAGGGAAATACTCTGCAGACCCCAAAAATGTGGCTGCTTTAAAGGTATCACATGTCTCTCAGGTCTTGGTTCTCTAGGAAGGGTGGGGAGGCAAGGAGGAGGAGACTATCAGGGGACCTTTGGGACAGCTGCGTCCCTTACTAAGGACACTGGAAAGGACACTGGACACTCGGCCGGTGTTGCCGCGGGCTGGGTTAGCACTGGAAGCACGGGTGCCTGCTGCTGTCTTCTGGAGCCTAAGCACGCTCCTCCCACCCCAACCCACTCCCCGGCCTGTGAAAGGAACATGGAGTCCTGTAACGTGGGAGGAAGCGGCAGCTGCAAGAACTGGGACAGCAGAGGAGAGGCTTGCGGGTGGCTGGGAAGTGCCGAGTCAGCAGCGTTCTTCTTGCCAGTAGTTGCAGGGCCTTGCCCTCCAGCTTCCTGTCACCCCTCCTGCCACATAGCTCTGTCCCCAGCAGGCAGCAGCAGGTTGGGAGGGAGGGGATGCAGCCCCAGGTCCGCCGTGACGGGTCGCTTCCCCAACAGAACCGGCAGATGAAGCACATTTCAGCCGAGCAGAAGAGGCGCTTCAACATCAAGATGGGTTTTGATACCCTGAACAGTTTGATCTCCAACAACTCCAAGCTGGTGAGCCGCCGGGGGCATGGGATCCGGGGGACAGGCCAGCCGGCCGAGTGCTCCCTGCCATCGGGCGGACTGCAGGCGCGTGGCTGTGCGCTGACGCCTGCCTGCCCGCAGACCAGCCACGCCATCACGCTGCAGAAGACGGTGGAGCACATCACCAAGCTGCAGCAGGAACGCAGCCAAGTGCAGGAGGAGGCGCGGAGGCTGCGGGACGAGATCGAGGAGCTGAATGCCACCATCATGTGAGGCACTGATGGACGCCCTTGGCGGCAGCACTTTGCTTTTTGTCATCTTCCCCTTCCCAGCCCTCCTCGGGCCTGTGGTGACCCGACAGCAGGCTGGCCCTGCCCGTTCCGGCCCCCAGGGTCTCCAAGCTTCCTCTGACTTCCTGTCATTTCAGCTCCTGCCAGCAGCTGCTCCCTGCCACAGGAGTCCCCGTCACCCGGCGCCAGTTTGATCACATGACCGACATGTTTGACGAATATGTGAAGAGCCGGACCCTGCAGAATTGGAAGTTCTGGATTGTATCTTTTGGTTTTCTTTGCCCCCCACCCCAAAACCAGCACACCGAACCAGCAGACATCCACACTCTAGTTCCTTCAGAAAGATTCTCTTAAGTGGTTGTCGTTGAGTTCATCGAGACAGGCAGTGCTAGCTTCTGCATCAAGACAGGAGGTCTGGCCAGGCCCACATGTGGAGTGAGACTGTCATTGGTGACCGCCCAGGCTCGGGGCTTCCTGGGGAGGCGGAAGAGGCCAGCGTTGCTGTCTAGTCCCTTGAGAAATAAAGATAATGCCAGAGCCACTCGCAGAAGCGATAGTGTGGAGAGGAGGTGGGATCTAGTCTAACACGCCCTGGTAGCCAGCAGTCAGGAGGGTCAACACCACCCCTGTGACCGAGGGGAAACGGAGGCTTACAGGCCAAGTGGCAGAGCCCGGACTGAAACCAGTTCCCCCCAGGCTGAGTCTGTGCCGCAGACCTTGAAGGCCGCCATGAGGTGCTGGGCCTTGCCTCTGGGGCCAAGGCCTCCCTCACCTGGCCTTCTGATGGCACCAGGGCCCTGGCGGGGAATGGCTCCTGCCTTGTCACTCCCCACCTAGCCACCACTCTGCCTCAGAGCAGACGTGGTGGGTGGGCTGCCACCCGGCCTTGGGTCTGACAGACAGAGGAGCCGGTCATGCTAAAGGACAGAACCGCCCCAGCAGCCCTGACAGGGCAGGTGGCACTTGTGCACTCGAGTGGGTGGTTCTGAAAAGAAGAGGGTGGCACCCCTCTGGCTCCCTGCTTTGCTGTTCTGATGCTGAGCTCTGGCCCTGATCTCTTAACCCTGGCGAGTGGCAGCTGGGATGAAGCGGGACCCCTGGTCAGGTGGCACATTCTCCACCACCAGGCTGAGGCAGGGGGCCTGGGGACACTGCCCGGCTCAGGGCACAGAGAGGTGGACCTCGTGCCTCTACTGAGCAGCTGCCGGAGGTGATGTGGGGGGCCTGCGCGGGGTTAGAGCTGCAGGCTGGTGTGTGATGCGAAAGACAAAGTCATCTCCATACAGATGGCTTCTACCTGCTGCTCTGCGGCTTCCGCTGCTGCACCAGGATGCATTCCAGACCAAAGAGACATCCCTGTCCCTGCCTCTGGCCTGCTCAGTGGTCAGGCATAGTCAGGTAGAGCCGCTGTAGGCCAGTGTAAGGGCCGCCTCCCTAGTCCAGGGCCCTCTCCTCACCGTCTGTGCACAGCTGCTTGCCAGTCCCCAGGGAAGCTGCTCGCAGGCCCGCCTCCTCGCTTTCTTTTTCTTTAACTCACTTGCCATGCAGTTCAGTGTCATCATCAAGCCGCTGTTTGAGTCCTTCAAGGGGATGGTGTCCACCAGCAGCCTGGAAGAACTGCACCGGACGGTGCTGTCCTGGCTGGACCAGCACTGCTCCCTGCCCATCCTCAGGCCAAGTGAGTGGGCGGGCGGCCGCACGGGGTGCTGGGGCTGAGGCTGTCATCCTTCATGCTCAGGGCCCTTCGCTGCAGAAAACCCCGTCCCTGGGGCCTGCGGATGGTGCCATGCAGGGGCCCTGAGCCAGCAAGGCCCGCTGCAGGTCGGAGAGCAGGCCTCCCAGCACCTGTCCGTACCTTCCTACCATCTCTGTGTGTGTCCGTTTGATCAGATCCAGCCCACATTTATTGAGTACTTACTGTTCACCAGGCCTGTCTCTGTGCCTTCAGATGGGTTTTCTTGTTTGGTGCTTATAATAACTAACAAAGCTATGCCTGCGATTGAGGTTATGGAGGCGTAGCGTTCACAGTGGCGGATAAGCGGGAAGAGCTTAGCATTCCCACCTATGCAGGATAGAAGTAGGATTTGGGGTGTTATCCTACAGGCGGTGGTGTGAGCGCCCCATCGGCACAGAGCCTTTCTGGGGCTCATCCTTGGGTCGAGCTCAGTGCCTCCCGTCTTGGCGAGTACGAGAACCACCACGGCGGTTGTGTGAGACCGCGTGTGCTGTTCACTGTAGGCTGGAAGCTGCACCTGTGCTGTGCCCTCAGGCTAACGTTCCCTCCTATCTTCCAGCGGTGCTGAACACCCTGCGGCATCTGAGCACCAGCACCTCCATCCTCACAGACCCATCCCGGCTGCCAGAGCAGGCTGCAGAGGCCGTCACCAGGATTGGCAAGAGATCGGGGGAGTCTTAGCAGCATCAGTGGGCATGTGGCCGCACGAGATGCCCTGGGGATCCTTCGCTGCCCGTGGACAAGTGGCCGCGCCCCACGCCTCTCCTGACTCAGAGCCCCAGGGCCTCGCTCCGACTCCGCAGGCCCACTGGGCCGCTGGGGCACCGCACTCAGGTCTGAAGCAGGGTCAGTCCTGCCAACAGCAGTAGCCCGTCTGGGGACCCCTTGCTGTAAACTCTCACTCAGCGACCTCAGTCACAACCTCCCCTGCCCTTGGGGCAGCCCAGTCTTGGTCTGCTGGTGGCCTGGGGACCCCTGGCACCAGCATGGGGAGTAGGCGGGGCACCAGGAGGCGACACTGCTCCTGGAGTTAGAAAACCGAAGGGTCCCTTCCTGGTTCCTGTCTGTCGCATCCTGGGCAGTTGTGCTGCTCCGGCCCGCCCGCGGGGAGTTGGGAGGCATCTTTCTTCCTCCCCAGACTCTGACCTTGTAGATGGACTTGGACAAGTGCTCAGGCTTACGCATGGTCAGAACCCACGTGTGCAAAAGCAGAGGCCGTGAATGCACACGGGGCGAGAAGGAAAGCACAAACAATGCAAAGCTGCCGCTCTGGCTGGAAAACCCTCCGGGGCGGTGTCCTCATCTGTTAGATTTAGGTCCCCTTGGTGTGACTTGAAAATTATGATGGGGACTCGGCCCAGGGCCTCACCGGGCATCAGCTCACAGCGTGGCACTTCCACCCTTGCTCTCCACCTGCTTCCAAGCTCAGCCTCGGAGGAGCCAGCAGTGTCTAAGGGACATGCACAGCCCTGAGGGCGCAGCATTTGAAAGGCCAGACTCCACGGTGCTGCCGTTGTTCACCCGGGAGCCCCAAACCATCATAGTTCTCGGACCAAAGACGTCTGCACACCCACAGGCTGTCCTGTCCTGTGTTTGGAGGAAGGAAATGAATGTTGACAGGCAGCCTCTGCTGTGTCTCAGCGTTGCTCAGATCAGACAGTGGAGCATGACCCTCGGGGCCGGTGAAGGTGGAGGACATCTGGGGGGCAGCAGGCTGTTTCCGAGTGTGGGAATCGTAGTGGGGAGGGTCGGGGGAAGGCATGGCCCGAGGGGATCCAGGCCCCATCCTCGGCGTATCTTCAGGAGTAGCTGCAGGTGGAAAGACAAACCAACACTCAGGAAGCCCGGCCAGGGGTACCTCCTTGAAAGAATGTGCTTTTATCATCCTGCTGTGAAGTTCAGAGGGCCAGCTGGCTGTCCCCTATCTTCCCTGCCAGAGATGGAGACGGGACAAGCAGTGCTGGGCAGGCCAAGAGTCTTGGGTGAACTTTGAGGGGGCTCACGAGCCATGTGAGGGGGGAACCACCGCTACCTCCTGAAGTTCCGATCCGTTCGGAGGCCAGCCCTGCTTCAGCCGTGGGTGATGGAGGGTGGATGGGGGTTCTCTCCCAGTGCCGGCCGTGCCACCATCTCTGCCGCAGGTCACTGACCAGTCGCCTGCAGCCTGGTCCATGCTTTGACCCCATATGAGAGCTGTGTCGCGGCCCCCCTCAGCCTCCCCAGAGAATGTGTTTACAGGCCTCCCGGATCCCTGTCCTGAGAGGTGAGCACAAGACGAGGCTGGGCTGGCTCTTAATTTCCACTGGGATGTGGTAAGGGACTCCACCTTTGCCCCCAGGGTGAACATGAAGTCCCCTTCAAAAGGGGACTACCACCGTGGTCAGCCCCACTAGAGTCAAAGGGAAAAAGGAAAACGTGAAACGTTCCCAGCTGTGAGAGCTTGTGGAGGGTCGTGGGCGCCGGCCCCGGCCCCAGATCCTGTGCCTTTATAAACCGCGTATGTAGGTGGCTTGGCCCAGCCTAAACCTCTCCTAAATCAATAGCTTTCCCCCCACCCACCCCTTGCTGGGAGTCCTTTTTTAAAAACTCCAGGGGATATAAAATTGGCCTCTTTGGCCTACCTCTCCTTCCCTCTCTCCCTTTTGCTAAATTAATGTTCATGATTCTGTTTTGTTCGATATTTAAGGCTGTTAGGTTGTGTGTGACTTTGAAGGGTGCGTGTGTGTCTGTCTGTGTGTCCCAGCTGACTGGTAACTAGATGCATGTTTTTGTTTGAGACATTTACTTAAATCCATTTCTCTTGGTGCTTGCCATTACCATGCCTGGAGGGCCACAGAGCTGTTGTCCCTCTTACTGCAAAGTAATTGTTTCTTGTCCTGACGTTTTCTTGCGGAATCTTGCCTGACGAACCTGCCAGACACAAGGGCTTAGCCTCGAACTCCACCCTGGAGTCCCCAGCCGGGGCCTGGGATACCGAGGCCACTCTGCCAGCGGCCTCCAGCGGACGCTGACCGTGGCGCTGTGATTTGTTTACACTCATTGTCACCCCTGCTCCTGTTCCTACACCCATAAAAGAAGCTAAAATGCTGACGCTTTGGGGGATAAGAAAAACCAACCCGAAAAGAGAAAAAGATGCTCTGGCGCAAACCCTGCAAGCGTTTCTGTGAAATCTCTCTGTGCCATCAGCTGCCTTCACGCTGCTGCTTGCTGTTTCACAATGAGTGGGGACAGAGCCGGTGCCACCGCGGGGCTTTCTGGAAATTGAAAGACCTGTCCCTCTCGTCTCCGGTGGGTTACACACCAACTGTCACCCCCTCAGAAGGTGGCAGATCCACAGCCTTGGGAGCAGTCCCCATGGCAGAAGTTAGTACTGGGTGTTGTCGAGGAGGAGGCAGTGGCGCTGGGCAGTGGCAACCCCAGCTCGGCCGTGTGGGAGGGGTGGTCAGCGGTTGCCCGTGTGTCGTCGGGTACCCAGCTTTCTCTACTTCCTGTTCTTGTGACCTGACCCCTCTTCTCCTTTCTAGAGATCAGGCCTGAAGGTTTTTCTGCTGTGGCTGATAGAAATATAAACTTAGGTTCTTAGGGGACACAGGACCCCAGGGTGGTGCCGAACCCCTTTGTCCCGCCCCAGGTGAAGGGGTGCGGTGGTGAGTGACGTTGCCTGATCCTGGCAGACCCACCACCTGGAGGGGTCACACACTCCCGCCTCCACATGCAGTCCTGGCTGGCTTCCCACCTAGCAGGCTCGTTGTTGTCTCCAGATGACAAGTTTTCACTCGTTAGAGTGGGGCTGGACTGTCCTTTGGGCCTGTCAGCCGTGGCCAGCAGACTCTCAGGACCAGGCCCCGCGCTGTTTGACCCTGCCTCAGTTTGGTTCTTTTATGTCACTGGCTGCAGATAGGCTTGGAACCGTGCCTCATCACCCCTCAGCAGTCCCTTCCCCTCCAGTGGTCACCTGGTTCCTCGGTGGCCTGTCCACTGCCTGAGGCCCCCTCAGGGTGTAAGTTGGGGCGCTTTCTGCCATTCCCTAGAGACACCCTGCTTCCTATTAGCGCTTTGCCAGAGGTGAAACCCGCCCACCGCCTGCAAGGACTTAACTTTGCAAAGCGTGTCCTTGGCTGAGGCCTGGCAGGGAAGGGAGTGGGGAGAGTCCTATGGTGGCACGTGGAGCCCCTGCAATGCCCGGGCAGCGGCAGGCCCTGCTTTGGCCCAGCACCCTGATGCCTCCTCGTGTAGTAAAGAGGATTTTCCCCACACCTGCACACGGGTTAGGGGACAAGAGAGCGAGGCTGGAGGGCACAGAGCTTGGAAGCTCAACACATGTTTGTGCCGATCAGTGGCTGCCTTGGCCTTGGTCTGCCCAGCAGGCCTGTGGTCGGAGGGGCTCGGGGAACAGGGAGAGAAGCCTTACGACCCCCCCGCCCCCGCCTCACCCCCGTCCTCCACACTGGTCAGCTGCCCGGCTTTCTTTCCCTCCTGAGGACGTGGCTTTCCTGCCTCCGCCCCGGGGGCTTGCGAAAATCAGCTTGAGAAAGAAAAGGGAATTTTTCATGTTGAATGTTGACCTTGCTCTGTGTGCATGTACCCGTGTGCTTGCCCAAGCCTGTGTGTGTGAGCCTGTGTGTGTGTGTTTACTTAATGGAATTTTCTCTCTTGTGAAATTCCTTTCCAATTATGTAGCAAAATTCACCTCCGTCTCCCAGTCGAGCTTTTGGTTTCACAGTCAACCCTGGGCATCGCTGATGTGAAGGATTCTCTGCTGGGTTTCTGAACAGAGACGTGCTGCTCTCAAGAGTTGGGGTTGTGGAGGGTTGGGAGAAACTGAAGTTTATACATTTCCGTAGCGTTTACATCCTGCAGTTAAAAGGTATGAAGGGCTCGGCCCTGGGAGCCATGACTCCCAGGCCGCGTTCTCGCAAGGGAGCTGGAACGCGCCTTTCCCGCACAGCGCCTGCTGCTTCCGTATCTGAATTTTTCCACGCAGCCTGTGAAAAGAAACCGTATTATTTGCTTATGTGGTAACAGCACGGCCGAAACACCACATTCTCTTCCAGGTCTCGGTCTGTTATGTAAATGACCCGTTTTTCTCTGCAGTGAGCTTTGGTGATTGTCAGGTCCCCTTAGGAGACAGGGACCCCTTAGTATCTGAAAAACAATCCAGGAAGAGCCTTGTCCATCGGAGGCTCCCTCAGGCCTGCGTCGCCCAGAACACGGCCTTTTCTGCTCCGCTGTCGAGAAGCACACCTCCACCAGCTGTATTCAACACTACAATGCTGTTTGAAAACTATATTTGCATCCAAGACAATAAAAATCCGTATTTTTTGGAAAAGCCTGTGTGGTGTGTGGTGGTCAGTGCTACCCTGTTAGGCTGTGGAGGAGATGACAGGAGATGAGGACAAAGCTTGCTCCTTCTAACCTGGGGGTGTGGCTCAACCCCAGAGAAGGCGTTGCGGGAGGAGAGAGGCCCACGGCAGGAGGGGGTTCTGGAGGTGTGTCCAGGAAGACAGGTCCTCCGAAAGCAGCCTGTGCTGAAAGGACCCGTTACACACCAGTGTGACAGGTCTGCCCATTCTCTCTCCAGAGTTGGTGCTGCAGGGCTTTGCCAGGGGCACAGTTGAGTGGTGCTTGTACAAACTGCCTGTTTCCACACCTGCGAGGTGGGCATACAGCCCCTGCCCTGCACACTTTCCAGGGTGGCTGTGAGTTCACAAAAGCACGTGTGTCACGGTGCTCTGTGACCCATGAAGCATGGCACGTATGAAAGTGGAGGTTATCGTCCGTATGGCTGGCCCTGGGGCTAAAAGAGTTCTGGTTGTGATGGCCCCAGGAGGCTGTAGTTTGCTAACCCGTTGACCCAATAGCATAGATGGAAGATGCTGGAAAGTTGACCTGTGTTGTATTGAGAAGATTTTGATGATCACTAATCTGGAAGCTTTTCTGTGTTACATACCATCTTCCTGAACCCCCACCTCCCCCACCTGGCTCTTCGTGCCTGGGCTCGGTGACTCGACAGGATGAGCCATGTGATCCTCACAGGCTGCTGGCCCCTCTGCGGAGCTGCTGGCTGTCACCCAACAACTGCCCAGACCTAGATCTCTTTACTAAAGGGCAGGGGGTGGCTACACAGGCTCTTGTCTGATCAAATCCCCATGCCTCCCCCAAGAACAAAGTTCATGACACAGGACAAGTTTTGGGGCATTGAGAGCTGGGGGCCGGAGAAAGAGGTGAGTGGTCCAAGAACTCCTTTGGGCTAGAAGGAGCTTGATATCTTTGAGCTAAGCAACAGGCATCTGTTCTTTATAATTTCTCGAGCCCAGCGCCATGTTACGTGTGGAACCTCAAAAGGTGCTTGGGCATCATCTGGAGAAAAAGGTAGAGTCTGGACAGGCTGGGAGGGGCGGGGCAGAGTGTCCAGAGGGAGCGAGGCCAGCACACTGTCAGGCGTGGAGCCACCGCAGGGAGGCACACGCCTGGGGACAGCTCTCAGGTTGGTGGTGTGGTTCGTCCCATTTCATAGGGGAAGAATCCGAGTCGTTCCCAAGGTCGCTAGGCAATGCGAGAAGGCTAAATGGTCATTTTTATCTTCTAAGTGGCCTCTCCATGCACCAAATCTGAGGGTTACCCTTGATGTCCTCCCCTCCCCTCCTTCACCTCCCCCAACACCAAGCCTTGTCAAGTTTGTCTTCTAATTTTTTCCAAAGATAATCACCCAGTTTTCTCCACCCCCCTGCCATTACACATGCCCACGTCGCCATCGTTTCTCAACCAGTTCCCGCAATGGTGTCCGCCAGCCCACTCTGTCGTATAGTCTTAGCTTACGGTAGCGTGAGCTTGAAAAAGTCCGAGTCTAGCCATGTCACTCCTCAGTTCTTCAAGGGCTTTCCAGAGCGAGGCTGCCCCCTACAGCATCTCCCCCCACCCCCACCCCCAGCCCGCCCCTGGTTGGCCCTATCATGTTTCCAGATGTTTTTGCTCTTCACAGTTCTTTGAAAATAATCATGTTGTGCTTCCCTCTTCAGGTTGTTCCAGAAGCCTCTCTGCCCAAGCCTTTCCCACCTCCACTCCTTTTCCTGGCTAGCTCCTATTTCTTCTTCCGGTCTTAATCCTTAACCTAGGAAACCAGCCCTAATGTCCCTCCCCCCAGCGCACGGGTACATGCACTCGTGCCCACGCAGGTGAGCGCATGCAGGTGAGCGCACGCAGGTGAACGCACTCAGGTGAGCGCACACACGAAGTCAGGTCTCAGAGCACCTGTTTCCTCAGGGCACCAACCGTGCTTGTCATTGTCTAGCTTCTCCAGGTTCCGAGGCGTGTCAGGACAGGGTTTGCGGCCCCGTGGTCACTGCTGTGCCCCTACTCAACTCACACGCAGCAGATGCCCAGGTAACCTACAGCATGAGCCCCCAGCCCCGTGCCATTCTCCAGCCCAGCCGCCCTTCCTCACATCCTCGTCAGAGAGATGGAGAGTGTGGGAACCCTAGTAAGACTTCGGGGGGGGGGGATGGGGGCGACTGGCGTATGCAGATGTCAACCTAACATAGGCTGAACAAGGTTTAAAGGTTGACTTCTGCGATGACAGATTTAATATAAAAAGTCCACTTTAGTAATTTAGGTTGCAGTTTAGTAATTAGGTTTAGGTATGATAAGAATTCTCCCTAAATGGCATTTAAAAGCATTTCGTCCCGGATGTGGACTTGATTCTGTGGAGCCCAGCTTTTCTTCTCTAGTGGCTCTGGTTTCGGTGTCAAAATCTGAATTTAGCCTCATGGAGGGCAGTGAGATTTAGGAGCTTGTCCTAAATCTCAAGAAGTGTGCTTTTAGCTTTTTACTTCAGAAAACCTCCAGCAGGCACAGAAGCAGAGAGCACCATGTAATGAGCCCCAGTGCACCCCTCGCCCGCTCTGACGGTGACCAGTTCAGGGCCAGTTCCATTCTGTGTGTACCTCCCCACTGCCCCCCATTACTATGGAGCCAGCCCCAGACACCGTGCAGATCTCATCTGCTAACAGCAAGTGTGTTTTTAACGACCATTTCCAGAATCACACACATGCCTGCCACGTTGATCCCTTAGGCTTCCGAAGGCTGTGCGGAAGCTATAGAGTCACAGTTAATGAGAAACCGGGGGAATGGAGAGTTCTGATTGATCAGATTTTCTGTTTCACTGAATTATTAGCTAGAAAACCCGTTTTGTTTAAAGAGGGGAAAAGCTTTTAAGATAAGCGTCTCCTTTCCTGCCTTAATGGGTATGGTACAGCAAACAGTCTAATCTCTCCATCTAGTCTGACTGATTTTTCACTCCTGGGGGAAGTGACCCAACAGGGCCGGTGGGTTCCATTACAGATCTGCGGCGGGGGTGGGGCCTGATGCAGGAGCTAGCAGCCCAGATGCCAGCCTGTGATGGCCCCCGCGTCCCAGCCCACCTGTCACTTAACTGAGTGACTTCCACTGAGATATACATACTGCATCGCCTCCCCCAACACCGGCCATGAGTTAACCCAGTTTCCCCCTCTTTCCTCCAGTCTGTGATCAAGAACCACGTGCCAAAGGCTGAATTTGAAGTTGGCTCAGGCAACACAACAGGGACTGTACTGGAGAAATAACAAAATCTGTGAGTGATGGGGTGAGCACGGGGTGCATGAGATCATACAGGATTGGCAGGAGCCAGTGCTGGCAGGGGTTCTGGGCTGTCCCCGTGGGTAGGTGACACCTGAGCCAGGGGCCAGCAGGACAAGCAGAGTTAGCCAAGCAAAGAGGGGCAAAACCCCCAGAGAGAGCTCCTTCCACAGGCAGAAACGTTTACAAAGCTAACACCTCCGTGTGGCCCTATCTCCCCATTGGGGCTTTTTCTTCTCTCTTATCTCGTCTGTCTCTTGAAGTTTCCCCTTTTTCCAATTGACTCATTCCTCGCCACTCACAAGTTTCTCTCGAATTTCTCTACTTCTAACCAGCCTTTCTTTAACTTTCAACCTCCCCTGCCCCAAACTCATCCATCCCCAAATACAGCCTGATACGTGGCATTGCCGTCCACCCAATGGCTCAAGCCATAAACTCAGATGTTGCCCTGGTGCCGACCTTTCCTTCACTTCCCACCTTCACACTCTATCAGCAATTCCTGTCTGTGTTTCCCTCCCAGATCATCACAGACCCAGCACTCCTCCCCACCCCCACTGCCGTCACAATAATCCAAACTGCCATCGCCTCCCTGGGTGACTGTGTTATTCTCCACGGCTCATTTCTTGCTGCTTCTCCGTCATCTCCAAAGAGCTGCAATGAGCTTTTCAAAAATTTTTTTATTGGGGAATTGGGGGGATGGGAACAGTGCTGGGGAATTGGAGGAAGGGGAACAGACAAGTTGCTGTCGTTTTGTTCTTCAGTCTAGTTGTGGAGGATGTTGCTTCACTGGCCCAAGTTGGCACCATCATTGCGCTCTTCCCGGGCGAGGCAGATCAGTCGCCGGCTTCTGGACGGCCGCTCACTGCGGCTGCTGGCTGCTCACACTGGCTGCTGGCTACACACGGTAGCCCATGGCAACCCACTGCCACAGGGGACTGCAGACTAGCCATCGCCAGCGACTCATGGCAGCCCAGCTCCAGGTTGAGCTGTTGTTCAGCATCTTAGCTGTGGAGGGCAGTGTCACTGGCCCTCATATGTGGGATCCGAACCGGGGCCCTCTGGTGTCCCAAGCCAGTTCTTAACCATCGCGCCACTCAGCTGGCCCGCAATGAGCTTTTTAAAGACACTTACGACACACTGTTTGAACTGAGCAACAGCCTCTTGGGGCCTGAAAGTCTTCATCTATAAAATGTATCTAATGAGCACACCATCCCCGCCGGGATTCCATGGCCTGGTGTGTAGGGAACCCCTGTCCTGTTAGCTACTTTTGCTCTTCTTCATCTCTCTTCCCCAACAAATCAAATTGTCTTTCAAATTTCTCAGATTGTATTAATGCCACCGCAAAGGCCACCCCCCCCTTATAAATACCCTGGAGTCGTTCTGATCCTCGCTTCCCCACCACATCCTGCCCACTCCCTTTTCATTTGTCAAATCTTGTGCTGTGAATTCTTTCTCTGAAATGTCGCTGACTGTGGTCCCATTCCGTGCCGTGGACACAGCTGGTACAGGTCAGAGTTGAGTTATGTCCTAACAACTCTCCTAGCTTTGGTCTCGAAAGGTCAGGAAATAGCATTTAGCTTCCTAACACCCACCCCCTTTTCAAAACCTGCCCTCCTCCCAGCGCTTCAGAGCTTACTGCTTATCTAGACTAAAGCCCCCGGTCCTCAGCGTGCCAGTCATTACAGCACTAACCTCATCCCCCATGACTCCCCGTTACACAGCCCAGGCTCCAGGCCCCAGGCTTCTTCCTGCTGCGCCTGGGCCAGCAGTCCCTCCCCGGGAGGCCTTGTGCTTTCTGCTCTCTCTAGCCTGCCC